ATTGCTTACCATTTGGTTTGAGAGCCTCTTTAGCGGATTGGATGGCAACCCAAGGATGCGGTAAATCAAGAAACAGAGCGTCGAAGTGATCGGTAAATGCAAATCCATCGGAACAGACGTCTCTGTGTTGAGCAGTAATGATATGACTTAATCCGTGGTCAGCGAACTCGTCTCTGGCCGTCGACGACCTCTCCTCGTGGAAGTCATAAGTGATGAGTCGGCCGTTGGGAGCGATGGTGCGGGCGATGGCGTGAGACAGGGATCCGCTGCCGGTGCCGGCCTCGCACACCACACTTCCCGGCTTGAGGTCGAGTTGAGTGCAAATAAAGCTGATGTCTGTCGTGTAGAGGATCTGAGTTCTGTGCGGAAGACATAACGTCCACAATTCGGGCGTCGAGTGAAGCAAATGGACGAACCCTTTGGCGCACTGATGGGCGCAACCGTACGGCTGGCCCACGAGGTCGTCGTGTTTGAGGGCTCCGTATTTGGTCTGAAAGACATGACCCGATCGGACAACAAGAGGGTATATATTGCTTGGACTCAAGTATACGAAGAGTGTGTCTCCGACGGCAACCAAACGCTTGTATGAAATGAAACTCATGTCTGAATTGTGTTCACCTATTCTTCAGCTGGTCTTCGAGACTCTTGGAGTAGTCGTGACTCCGAGTGTTCACTGATTCACGAATAGAGATGTGTTGTTGTATTGGTTGACCACTTCTTGTGGTGAAAAACAATTGCTATTCAATAGACATGAAGTCATTGAAAGACGTGAACCACTCGTCTATCGTATGCCTAATATTCACGACTTTTCATGAGATTTACACAAATTGTTTGCTTAAACACCACAACAAACGTATTATTTTGTAGACAATTGCCACCCATTTGTTGCGCGCATTCACTACAACACTGGCAGTGAGACTGTATTCGCACGAATTCATGTGCGTTCGCATGCATTGTGTTATAAAGATATTCACGAATCATATGTTTGTATGAATTGATACAATGCTTGCAATGCATGCAAACGTGAACAGCATTTCACAAAACATGTATTATTCCTATGCTTTCATACATTTATTCAATGAATGCATTGAATTGAGCGCAACGTTAACTCTATGTTAAATCATAGGTGTTTGACATTCAATCAAAATATTCATTCATTATTACTGTTAATTGCTTTTCTTGTCTTAAAGTTGTAATTAATTAATGCTTTTAGTCGTTTCAATGCTGTATTTAGTTTGAAATTAACCCAAATCTGTATTCAATAATATCTGTATCAACACTTCAGAGAGAATTTATTGCATTTATTAAATGATCATAAAAACGAAAAACTATTCTTTAAAAAGTGCACAAAATTAACTTTTATTACATAAATAAATGTATGGAAAGAATGGATAGATTTATTGAAAATTATAAAATATTAGTGTGAAATCAATTGATGTTATATAAGATCGGATGCAATGAGAAATATAAGTGAATTCTACAGTAAATGAGACAAAACATAGTATCAAACAATTCACTTGTTATACACAATTAGAACTTCTTTGCAGGCTATGACCAATGATCATGGTGATATTTCAAGAATTATAGATAACACTTATGAAATCCAATAATTATGATTCAATGAACGAATGCAATGTTGATGCAACCTTGTTTAATTAAGTGTCCTAGATTAAGTTTGGTTACAACTACTGCATTTATGAACTTATAGAATTTTCAATAATATACTATATAACATCGATTTAAACCTGTATTATTTACGCTAGAATCTAACTTGTAAGCACTAGATCATTGTACTACACTATATAAAATCAAGTTTTAATTAAATTAAACATTATTGCAATCTCTATGTAATAGTGAATTTGTAAAGTATATTACTGTTAACAAAAATTAGTTTTTATAATTTAATTAGAAGTTAATTAGTTTCAAAACATGTGAAACATTAATTATAGTGTGAAAGTGATACTGGGATAGCAATGTTGTAAGCCTATTTACCATGATCATTAAAGTCTATGATTTGGTTAACTACAAATTAAACACGTTTAATTGAAATTGTTAATTTCAATTAAATATTGCACTTACATTATAGTTATATGAATGGCAAAGAGATGGCATTCATGTATTAATAAGTTCTCATCATTGAGAACAAGTTCTTTCAATACTGTTGTCTCAATAGTTTTCAAACAATTGAAACCCTATATGAACTAAATTATATTTACGGCACAATTATGGCACAACCATTTTTATAATTAAATTATCAATCAATTGATTTCTTGCATTTGGGTTAAGTCCTTATACAGTAGAGTACAAATTGGTTTATATTTTATAATAATGTATTTATCTATAAAATTAAATTTCATAAAGTTTTTGCTCAAAAATTATTTAACAATTTGTAATCTATTAAAAAGATAAAAATCCTTTGAAAAAATAAACTTCACATCAATGCAAATAATATAATTGAATATAAATTTTGCATAGAAACTTATTTAGCAAATTACTTATAGTGTATATCAAAATACAGATGCGTTTCCATAAAAGGAAACTTTCATATGTGTTATGCCATACAATACTGAAATTTTTGCAAACTTTTAAATATTAATATGAAATTTCCTATAATTATAAAAATTAATAATCATTAATATATTTTTAAAATATTTTTTGTAAACAACAATTTTTAAGTGTTGAGTGATAAAAATATATAAGATATTAAATTTCTCTCCAGATATTATCACTTAATATACATCTCGCTATTAATGGTATTTTTAAAAATTGTTAATTTTATTATGTTTTTGTTACTATTTTTCTATAACGAAGTGTAAGTGGAATTTAAATGAGGATTAGAAATGAGTGATTAGTGAATCGCTCATTGATTGCTGCCTACGATCACAAGAACGCCTTCTTCTGCCTATGAATGGAAAAGTAGTGAAAAACTTCTATTCCATCCGAAAAGGCATCAAATTATATGTTTATATATTCCGTTGCCTTCACTTCCCATAAAACAAAGTGTTTATTTTTAAAGTCAACATAACTTTAAATCTAATCTAAATAGTGTAGAGAATAGAGAACCAAATACTACGGAGACCTTCGCTATAATGTAACATAACATTAATTATACAAATAGACACTAAATACTGAATGGAAGTAACTTTTTGTAAATGTCGTGCCATTCCTCGCAATGGGTTAGCCCTGGCATCGATTGTTACGCTGTGCTGAACGATCTTTTGCTATCATATGCTTTTATGAACAGGTGCTTAGGCTTTACCTGATTTGTGCTTTTATTTCCATTAATAATTCCTTCAAAATTGAGGGAAAACCAGATGTTTCGGAGAAATCGCTACAGAATTAGATGCGACCGAATGGGCAATTGTCTCGCATGGCTCAGACCCAGTCGGGTCCGACTCACACCAGCTAATAGATATCGATCTGACGATAGGGTCATCTCATCGGAAACAAGTAAATTATCTTTATTTAAATACTAGTTATATGTTTAATATATTACACATTTATATTAAAGATAAGTTATGAAAAAATAAAACAACAGATAAGATCTGGAATAAAGTGAAAAACTTGTATAGAGTTTATGATTAATTGAGTTAATAAGAAGTTAAAACTTATGATTTCCTCAAGTTTTTGTATTATAAGTGCATTTTGATCAAACAATTTTAATCATTGAATAAATTTATAATTTAGTAAATATTAAAACTTTTACAAGACTGTGATTGTTGTTTATAAATCATATATTAAGCACATTACTTTGTTTAAAAATTTGCCTAAAATCTATTTAAGTTTTAACATCCTTTTTACATATTAAAAATGCACAATAACGATAATTTAATAGTAAATAGTAAATTTAATAATAAATAATATAAATATATAAATTATAAAATTAAATTGTAATAACTTATATAAAATTCGAATACTTAATGTTTTATAAATTATAATCCATTAATATTTTTTACACAATTATTAGTAAAAATACAGACAAATGTTTTTTATGATTTATTATTAAATAAATATAGAATTTATAATTCCATAATAATATAATAATTGAATGCTTATCTTTATTCTTATTTATCTTTATTTATATTTATTTATTCTTATTTAGATACCTTGCAATATATCAGCGAAACAATAAATTTAACATGTAATTCTTACAATACAATATTTTTCAAATAACTGATCAAAAGCTAATAATTTTGATTCAAAAATACTACATTATTCTGTTATATTGATAATTAGTTATTTTTTTAAATATTAAGTATTTTAAAAATTAATCCTATAATTTTATTATATTTTTGAAAATTTCCATTTTTTAGAATCAGATGCTCTTGTATTACGAAAAACTAATTTTTTAATTGAAAGCAATTGTTGGGAACACAGGACTGAAAAGTTTGCGTTAACTAAAAGATTAAATAATGCACGGCTTGTGGTGCGGAGGGGAACACCATTTGAAATACGGTTTACATTTCAACGNACGGCTTGTGGTGCGGAGGGGAACACCATTTGAAATACGGTTTACATTTCAACGTCAATACCATAGAAGAGATGATATTATAAATTTGGTTTTTAAAGTCAAAGGTGTCTTTGGATTTAAACTTCTTCTACTAAATCAGTATATTTTAAATGATTTGTTTCGTTATCAGATGCCGAGACTTATAATTCAAGTTATGCTCAAAGCACTAGAATTACAATTCCTGTCTTCGATGACAGAAATCCATCCAATGTTAACATTATTTTAGAGGACGAATGGAGTGCTAAAGTGGTAAAAGTGGACGGATTTAATGTTTCCATCGAAATATCTTCAGCCCCGACAGCCATTATTGGCGAATACACTATTAGTGTTGAAACAAAGTCGTTGAGTAAAGGCAACCGATCTCTTCAGGCAAACCATGTGTCGGAATCAATATATTTATTGTTTAATCCGTGGAATAAAAGTAATTTTAAAAATCATTTTAAAGAATTTTGTGTTAATTTTATTTTGCAATTCAGGGGATTCTGTATTCCTTAAAGATAGGGATGGAAGAGAGGAATATGTGTTAAATGAAAGTGGAATTATATGGAGAGGTACTCATGAAAAGATGAAGCCCACGCCCTGGAACTTTGCACAGGTATGTCGTTTCGTACAATTTGTAACTGTAATGCTATTTTAGAAATATGTCTCTAAATTAATATAATATAATTGTAAAGCGTTTTCAATTGTCAGATATCGCCCACGAATGGGCGGTTTTTTGCTAATTTTATTGATATTATTTATATACTCACAACTCTATGCAATAGTTAATTGTAATTATATTCAGAATATAATTGTTTGTTTTTATTTAAATTTAAATAAAAATAAAATTCTCTATTTGTTTGAATTGCAAATTAGTACTAAATAATCCGTTTTGTTTTCAAAATCATTGAAAAGGGAGTAAGAGTTTTAAAATTTTGTGTATTGATTAAATCTCAATTGAATTGAATTTCTATAACTTCTTTATTATACAATATATAGTTTGATGAATATGTTCTGGAGGCCAGTCTTTATGCCCTGTCAAAGGTGGGACGTCTTAGTGTCACCGATAGGTATGTCATCTATATTTAAATTTGCATTTTTGAAGTTTGTTTTTAAAATTAAATTAAATAACTAATTCTTAGAGCCGATCCCATCAAAGTATGTCGACATATATCAGCCATTGTGAACAGTGTGGACGACAACGGAATTATGGTCGGCAACTGGAAGGAGGACTTTGGTGGCCCGTGACGTGGGTGGCTAACCGTGCCCTCAGTTCGTTAATACGTTGTCAAAATATTTTGGTTTGCGGGGCAATTCAAACCGGTCACAACCCAGAAAAGCCCTGAGACACGGTGTTCAAACACGGTATACTATAAAATGATGGCTTCTATGTTAGACTAATTTATATTTGCTTTTCATTTCAGTTGCTCGTTGTATAGGAATACCAAGTCGTGTGATAACGAACTATCAATCGGCTCACGACACGCACACCAGTATTACTGTCGACCGTTTCTTTGATGAAGATCCTCTCGGGTAGTTTTCGGATTTGTGACTGAGGTAGACCTTAAAAGTAAGTACCTAACTCCAAACCTAATTTTCCGGTCTGGAAAGTTACAGGCCTCTTATGCTGCCCACCTTACATCAGCCATACGATGTCTATATAGAAATATACACTACATGTGCTGTGCCTTAAAAGTGGTGATTGAAATATAATAAATGTTTTTGAATAGACGCGACCCCACAGGAGCCGTCTGATGGCCTGTACCGGTGCGGACCCACTAGTGTTGAGGCCATAAAACAGGGCGAAGTCAACAGACATTTTGATGGAAAGTTTGTTTACGCAGAAGTAAACGCCGATGAAGTATATTGGCTTTATTTGGGACCAAAGCAACCTGTTAAACTTATATCTCAATCAATGGATTCGTACGTTTTCAGTACAGTATTGTTAAATGAAATGAAAGTTAACAAAAAGAAAATCTATTTTTATAGCATTGGTTTGAATATTTCAACTAAAGCTGTGCTCCGAAACACTCGCGTAGACATCAGGATTCGTACGTTTTCAGTACAGTATTGTTAAATGAAATGAAAGTTAACAAAAAGAAAATCTATTTTTATAGCATTGGTTTGAATATTTCAACGAAAGCTGTGCTCCGAAACACTCGCGTAGACATCACTGATAACTATAAACATAAAGAGAAAAGCGCTGAAGAAAGGGAAACAATGATTAGGGCCTTAAGGATGTCTCGAAACCAATATTCAAGATATTATCTCAACGAACAGTTTGAAGACATTAGATTCGAGTTCTTACTTCTCGATGATGTCCTCATTGGCAGCTCTTAATGCCAAGTCTGTTAAGTATGTTAATCTATAGTTTAAGATCTAAATAAATACTAAAAACACTTAATCCAAGCTGATTCTTACGTATTGTCTTCATTATTTCAAATATGGTATTTGAGATAATAGCCGGTGAGGGCTACATTATATACGGGGGTTACTAAAGGTGTGGTCAAAAAGGATAGACGGGATATAAGAGTTGGTCCAAAAGCAGGTTAATATTTAGATATTAATTATATTTTTAAACTTATTAAATTTAAATTTTACATTTATTAATAATTTTAAATATATTTTAATGCAGACGAAGAAATTGCTGTTTTGGTCACTTATAATGAGTACGAGAAATATTTAAGTGATCAAAGTTTGTTTAACGTAACAGTTATGGCAAATGTAATTGAAACAGATTTTCAAGTAAGCTAATTTGATGACATTATGATGATATTTAAATTGATTTATTATTTTATGTAGTACTACGCTATGGATGACTTCCGACTCCGAATGCCTGATATTATAATACAAATAATCGGTGATATAATTCAGGGCAAACCATTCACCTGTAATGTGTATTTTATAAACCCATTACCAAGATCTTTGACCAAAGGTAAGCATTTGTATTGTTGATCATTAGTTATGATTTCATAACATTTACTAAATATTTTATTATATTTTAGGCGTCTTTACTATTGAAGGACCAGATTATTCGAATCGGCTTAGAATGCCATTGAAAATGTAAGGATATATCTTATTATGTTTGAAATGCAATAAAAAACAATATATCTTCATATGAAGGCCGGTATTCCCCTCGTCTGAGGCGCGAACCTCTTTTACAATAACTCCCAAGACTTCAGGCGAGCGAACAATTAGTGCCAAATTTACATCACTTGAGCTCAAAGATGTCGATGGATTCAAGAATATAAGAGTTTCCGCCAGT